TGGGGAATGTTGAAATTGACAGCCTCCCAGGAGTCCACTCCCACCCTGCATTTGCTTTCCTAGAAAGTCTATTCTGGCTACAAAAGGCCTGAATCTCACTTCAAAGACACTCCAGTCCTCTGGAAAAGTGTCAGCTAGACCGGGGTTCCTCAACCTTGGCATCTTTAAGACGGGTGGACTTCAACTTCCAGATCCCCCAGCCAGCAAGGCTGGGAGTTGAAGTCCACCCGTCTTAAAGTTGCCAAGGTTGAGGAACCCTGGTCTAGCTGACACTTTTCCAGAGGACTGGAGTGTCTTTGAAGTGAGATTCAGGCCTTTTGTAGCCAGAATAGACTTTCTAGGAAAGCAAATGCAGGGTGGGAGTGGACTCCTGGGAGGCTGTCAATTTCAACATTCCCCAACTGGTCAGCTAGAGTGTGTGATGTTGACTCAGGAGGAATCTTCCTACTGCAAAGACAGCAATGTGAAATCTTTTTTTTTTTGTATATAATTTTAATTAAGAATTTTGATTATAATAGTAAAATCTAATACAAACTAAACTTAAAGAAAAGAGAATAGAAAGGAGTAAAGTGCAAGGAAAAACTAAAAAGAGAGAAAAGTAAGAATATAATGCAGATGTGAACTTATAATGCCTTTCCAAAAAAGAAATTATTGGAATGTGTTATGAGAAAAAAGGAGAGAGGAATGAGATGAGATGGAAAATATGAACAGGAAATTGGAAGAGGATCCAATTTCCAAGGCTTGAGTGAAAATGGAGTAATAATGATGGATCTAATGTATTTCATAGTAATAGCACAGTTGAAATAGGAAATACCTACTCTATTAGCTTGCACATCACATTATTTTCCTAGAGCACCTATCCCATGTAACTTTTGTAGAGTTGAGCCAATTGTACACACTCGTCAATAACTGTATTGACAATGAAAGTAGCTTCCAAGTTAGTGTAAAACCAAGGAGCTCCTCTTGAATAATTGTTTCAGGATCCGCTGTATGATCAAAATGTGCAAGTGACAATTGCTCCTTTCCAGATACATCAAGAGTTTTATTATAGTAGCAATAACTGAAATGTTGACCATAGTAACTGTATCTTCACTAATGGCCTCTTCATGCTGCTTAATCAGTTCATTTTCCATTTGTATGGTGCACTAACTGAAGAATTTTCCAGATGTTTCCACAGTATCTCTTCCTTCAATATAAAACTCAAGGAAGCTTTGTACATTTCCAGTTGTGCTGCTTTTTCCATGTTAAGGCAATATTGTGCATCAGAAAATAGCAGACAATATTGAATATAATTGTTTAATGCTTTTCATTGTTTAGATGTTTTCCAGCACCCACAAACCTTGCCTGTTTTGTTTCTAGTGGATATGAATTTAGCTGCACCTGTATGTGTGGTTCTGTGCCAAGTATTTGAAATATGATTCCTTGATGATGAAGGCACTCTGTTTCCCAAGAATGAATAGGCTGTGGAAAATTGTGCAATAGTTACAAATTGTTCCTTTCAAGTAAGTGGCATAACTAAGCCATGATGCATACTGACTTAACTCTTCATAATGAAAACAGCCTGGCCCCTTTGAATTTCCCTTGAAAGCTTTCATACTTTGCTGTAGGTGTGTAGGCAGTTTCAGGATCATGTTTCTGATCATTTGTGATATGCACCTGTGAGTACACAATCTAGTGTTATTAAGTGTTATTAACATTAGACACCATGGTGTACAGTAGATTCAGCTCTTGGTGTTGAACCTCAATAGGAGTAGCTATTGCCTTCTTCCTCATTTCTTACCCTCTTCTGTGATCGTTCCTCTATTTAATTTGCATTTTGTTAAAAGCCTCCTGATATCCATCCGGGGGAGCAGGGAAGTGTGTGTATAGGTGTGTAGTGGCAGGCACCTAGCTCATATTCCAAACAAACCATCCTTAGTCTGGATTGATGGGCAGACAGACAGTGGCTGGAAGAGATATTTTCATTGCCTAACACAAATTCCTGTTATTTTAATTAGTATTTAATATTACTAATACTTTTATTCATAGACAGTATGAGTACAGATTGGCAACCACTAAGGATCTTCACATAAGGGAATTTCAGTCCTCCGGAAAAAAACAAACAAACTTCATTTCAGTTTTAGATAAACTGGACTGACTCAGTAAGGCTTTCCAACGCTGGGTCACTAGCAATCTTTACAGTATCATGTGCATGAGTGAAACTAACAAAAAAGACGCAGATGTTTTGCACCTTTCCCACCACCACTTTATTTATTTACAGCATTTTAATACCACCGACTCCTAAGGCTCTGGACAGTACGTAATATCCTAACATAAAAGCCATTAAAACCCAATCAGCAACTTCCCAACAAAATCCAATCCTATATTAAATGACTTTTTTTCCCCAAACACGCGGGCATTTAGTTGGGGCGAGAAGTGGCAGTGTAATAAAGAGGGTTACTTCAGACCATCATCCACCCGCACCCTGGGAACAGGAATTCGTGGGAAGGGCAGCGGCGGGGAGGAGAACCGAAGAAGGAGGCGCCCACCTTTTCTGAGCCTGCAAGGGACGCCGGCGCTGGGTGTCCTTCCGAACTAGCCCCGGCCTTTCTCCAACGGGCCCGGCGACGCTTCTTTCTCCAGCGTGCTACCTCCCACCGGCACCGCGAGCCCAGCTTCTGACTCCAGCGCGCGCCTGATCCGACCTCCTCCCCTCTCAGGGCAGAGCTGGGGAGGTTCTGATTCTCCTCCTCCTCCAGCCCTAACTAGCCGATCCCGCGCGCCGGTTCTGGCCGCCCAGGCTTCCTCGGAGCATGCATCGAAGCTCGACTCCCGCGCCTTCCTCCTCGAAGGGACTGCTTTGTTCAAAGAGTTGCAGGCGGCGCGCGGGGAAAATGTCTCCGTGCCGGGATTCCCAGGGCTCCCGCCTATTTTTGCAACTCCGGGGACAGTCTCCGGCATTGCTCCTACGGCAACTGCTCGCCATAGCGCTAATCCAGGCCGTGTGGGGTGACGTAACACTGCCTTTATTAGCAGGTAACTGGCTCGAAGCTGCTATCTGAAGTCAGTTTACTAGCCAGTAATTGCCATTGGAAACAGCGGCTTCTGAGTCCTGGAAGGGCAAGCGATCAGTCGTCTCTCAGTTCTTTCGGGCATCTAATAGTCTCTTGCCGCTGTTTCCCTGAAACATTTGGACGGCAGCAGCTTGCGAACCTGTTCGCCTGTCTGTCCTTCGGCGCTCCAGACGGGTCGGGTGGCGGCGCCCAGCAGCGTAGGCAGCGTTCTTGCGCCCGTGTCTGTCTTGGCTGTTAGGAAGGCAAAAGGTGGGCTAGGACCGCACTGGCTTTGCAGACTAGTGTACAAAATATCGGATTGCCTAGAGCAGTGTTTCTCAACCTTGGCAACTTTAAGATGTGTGGACTTCAACTCTCAGAATTCCCCAGCCAACATGCAGACAGGGAAGTTCTAAGAGTTGAAGTCCACACACACTTTAAAGCTGCTGGAGAGTAAAGAGGGAGCAAACAAGAAAGTTATGCCGCCAAACAGTTGCAGATAGGACAACAATGGCTCCAGATATATGTGGGGTGTGTTTTCCATAGGAAGAATTGGGGATTGTAGTGGTGGATTGCAGGGCTGGTATACCAAATCCATCAGATCGGGCCACAAGGAAAGGCACAGAAGGCATTTATACTTCAATATGACAGCTTGATTTGGTTTGTGACCACAATTATAAATAGTGGAAAAATGTTCAAACAACTAGCATATATATCATGATGCTGCATGATTAACCCGTTTCCTTTCTGTATAGATGATAACTGTAAACAGTTGAAGGCAATGAAAGTAACACAGAGTTCAGAATCAACTTGTTTCTGCTACATTCCAAATGGAGCAATATACTTACAAAATACTTGGTCAACTATTCAGGTATAGTCATGCTGTCGATACACTCATAAATAAAGTGAGTAAGGTTTTTCTTAGCAAAAAAAAAAAAATGAAATACTTACGATGAAGAACTGTATTGAAGGGCTGGGATTGTGTGGCAGTATTAAAAAATGTCAAATGGAATGTTGCATAGGAGAACTCTGGAGAGATCAAGACATTTCTCCAGATGGCATGCCTTCCTTTCTATTGGGTGTTGAAGCTTTCATGGCATTTCTCAGATATCTCCTTTGCAAACAAAGTCTCTGTGCTACCCAAATCCCACAAAATGCTTACAGAATAGACTTTATGTACACTGAAATAATTATCAGGATTTCAGCAACAAAATCAAGAATACCTCTAATATCTGTAATCCAGGATTTTTGACGAAACAGGGTTGTTTCTATAAGCCTGTAGAAACCATAAGTTCCATTCACCGGGCAATTTCCAGTGGAAATTTAGGCATCATTTAAGCTCCTCTAATATATAATCTTGACAAAAGTCTCATTTGAACACAGGTCTGCTTTCGAGTAAATTTGCACAGGATTGCATTGTATCTACAATAAAAGCCTACACTGATTTTGTACTCAGTTAGATCCCAAGGTGTTCTCCAAACAGAATTTTCTCTTTGGGATCCCTGGTTGGGCCACACAGAGGAAAAGTTTCCACACTTTTCTCAAATGTAAGAGGATGACTGATAACTCAATCCAAAGGATATTGGCCATCTGGAAATCATTAGAGAGCTTTCTGTGTAAATTCCTTTTGGCTAAATATTGGAAAACTGAGATTTCTGATATCTGTTAACCAAAGGAATTTTTGTTTGATGTTCACTTCTGCCATTTGGATTAATGGTCTTTAGGTCAGGAGCAAGCAGTCTGGAGCCTCTCAGATGTTTGAGACTATAATTCCATAAATCTTTGCCATCAGGTTGCCTACTTCCTATTGTAAATGAAAACGGAAACTATTCCTCCTAAATAGAGAATGGGTAATGTATGGCCTTCCAGATCTTGAACTCCAGTTCTCATTGGTTCTTGTCAGCACTGATGCTAGTTAGGATCATAGATGTTGCAGTTCAGTAACATCTAGAGAGCTACATTCATCCTTGTTCTACATAAATCATGTGGCCTTACATAGAATCTGACTGAAGTCCTGGTACTCTGTGTAGAGTTATTTTTGGGAAAGCAATCTTGGGATTATTCAGACAAACATCCAGTATTTGCCTCCTGCTTTTTCTTCCCACTTATGTATGATTGAGTAAATAAACCAGAATAAATAATTTGTGTTAATTATTTACAATCAAGGCAGGATATCAAGCCAGGAATTATTGATGGCTTGTAAGCTCTGCTTGGCTTTGGAGCAACAGATCTGAGTTTCAAGTTCAAATGAGATAAGCTGTTTACTTCTAGCTTGTTCAAGTACTTGTGCAAATGGCCTGTGGCTGTATGCCTCAGGATTCCTGACTGAAAGTGTTACATAAACACAGCCAAACTTTAATGTTGTAAGAAGTGCCATTGCTACTTATTTCATAGTTCTTTTTATCTTTGAGTATATAGTGATGAATTATTGTAATTTTTTTCAGGTGTCAATAAACAGCACTGGAATATTTAAAGTAGTGTTTATCCCAGATGAACATGATTGCCAAAATTCAGAATATTTATTTGATTTTTTGAAATGCCTGATTAACAATATTTGGCAGCCTAGTGTGTCTAATCAAACTATCATAACAGTGGACCAGTATGTTGGCAAAACATGTTTCAGGATCCAATCAACAAATAAAATACTCTACACTGTGAGTGTAGAACAAAACAGTGAGTAATATTGAGAGAAATCCATTTATAAAATATTTTTGTATTAGAAGGGTGCTTATTAAGTAAGTACATAAGTGAAACAAGTTTGGATTTCCCTTCTTTTTGTTTTTGTTCCAGTGTTGGATAGCAAGCTCATTCTGTTATTTGTTGCTGGTGTACTTCTTTTTCATTTTGCCTATAACCTGAGTAGGTAAGTGCTAGCTTTACTGGAATCTGTCAATTACATGAACTTGCTAATTTTGAAAATAAAAATGGGTTGCAAGTCTGCAAACATAAGAAATCACATTGATTTCAGCAAGACTTGAGGTAAGTTACCATGGGTAGAGCTGCAGTCCTTTCCTTTCACTCTTTAAAGAGTGTATTTATGTAGATGTATTGTCTAAAACAGTGATCACTAAGTGGATGGAATAAATAAACTTAAAGGCACATACCAAGGAATAAATTGAGTGACTATAGTGGGGCTGAGTAAACATGCATAGGATTGCACTACTAAAATGCAATGCCATGGCCTCTGGAATCTATCATCAAGGCTGTAGAAGTTTTAGACTCTTCTCTGAATGGGAAGAGAAACATATACTTTCAGTAGGGAGATCTGATCTTGGATGCTCTCTCCTGTATCTGTCATGCCCTTAACTCTCTGACACTGATTGAAGCAAAAAAGGGCTGATGAAGTGGGCATTATCTAGGTGGGCCTAGAAACCCAGCCACAGAACAAATTTTGCATGGCCTGGAGTACGCCCCCTATGGATAGGTGTTGCATATACAACCTCTATACAATAAATGAGGTCACATATATGAAACTCTTAAAAAAACAGTTGGATGGAGTTGGCAGTAGTTGGCTTAGCCATGATGTATTTAGCAAACCAGATTGAATTCACCCATCACACTAAGATATAAACCATGAGATACAAACCAGAAAGGCTGGATTTACACATCAGGGTAACTTAAAACTGAACCAACCACATTATAGCTTAACACAGTGTGTGAATCCAGGCAATGTGAGGGCAGGGCATTCTCATGTTATGTTAATTGCAAGATAGGGGGGTGCTGTGTAAGTAAGTGAAATAGTCTATAGAATTTAAATAAAGCTGTATCTTTGCTTTTCTGCTTGCTTGAATGTGTTTTCCATGTGCAAAAGATTTACTAGCATTTATGTGTTCTTCCCAAACAGAAGCCACATCTTCTATTATTGTGCTGGGATAGCATTTGGTGTTCTCACACCTCTAGTCTTTCTCGTTTTGATGCTTAAAAGGTTTATTCCCAAGGTAGGTTTATTACATTAACATAAAGACAGCCAACTATTTGACGCTTGCCCAATGTTAACTGAGCTTTTAGTTCTGTGGGTGAATCAAAGGCAACCAAAGTGGTTTTAGCATGGAATAAATAATTCAGCAGCCAGCCAGTAGCATGATCACTAACTGGTAAAGCAGAAGAATAAAACCTTGATGTTACTGCAACTTGGGGTAAATAGTTTTGAATTCAGTGTTTTCTATAGAGACAGAGTCAACTGGGTATTGTATTTTTGGACAAGATTTCACTGTGGGAGACCCAAAAATCATAAGATAGGTAACAGCGTGGGCAAAGCATTCTGGTATTCTCTGTCTATAAACAAAGTAAATGTATTCAATAAAACAGGGTTGGATCCAGCTTCTTTTTCTCTACTGGAAGTATTCCTGAAGTAGAGTTCTATTTAGAATGTTCTGCTGGTGGAAAGAGATTATTGTTCTTTGGCAATCCTTCTTTCCTCAGGAGCTCCCTGGTGCTACCTCTTCCCATTATTCTAGAGGCCCCTTAACCCTTCAGAGCATGTTTTCTGAAGACATAGTGAGCTGCAATAGAAGGAAGGAATCACTGAAAATTATCACTGGATCTAACCCAGCAATTTTTGCTGGATCTAACCCAATAACTCTCTCATCAATAGAAGATAATATGTGTAGCTCAAGGTTGAACTGTGGAGTCCTTGGGGTTCTCTGAGCTTGGTTGTTTGCTTGCAAATGTTTCGTTGTTACCTAGCCAGGTAATGAAACGTTTGCAAGAAAACAACCAAGCTCAGAGAACCCCAAGGACTCCATAACTCTCTCATCTTCGACCATAAACCAGAAGAGTTGGCTTTGCTTTCCATGTCAGTGAAACAATAGTAAAGCAAGAAATACCAGTCCTTAAAATTCTTTATTGAAAATACCATGTTTTGTTCAGTTTTTTGCTTGCTTTTGCTCTATATAGATTTAGACCCGAAGTCATATTTCTACAGCCTTTCATGGCTCTACTAAGTTTTTCTCAAGCAGCAATATAAAAGCTTCCCACCCATATACTGTATAGACAATCCTCCCCAGTGCCCATTATATGTTCATCGGAGGAAAGGCATGTGCTGTTCGGGTGGTGGTGTAGCCTTCCTATCTTTATTTTCATTGTTTGTGCTAATTGTACTGAAAATGAGTACCCGTGAGGATGAGGGGTATGCTTGGGCTTTTGCTAGAAGACCCTTTTGACTTTTAAATTCCAAAAATGAAATTATCATTAAGTTTGTCTGGCTGTGAGTTTTTCAATTTGGACTTGCTTCAGCTTGACTTGGGCGATTTCACTAACACCAGTTTTGTATATCTACGTGGACAAACGTGCACCATATTCAAATGTCATTCCTCTTTTCTTTTCCCTTCTAGCTCAGTACCTTCTGGATTTTAATGAGTGGGTGCTGGTTCTCTTCTCTGTATATGTTTTATGTTTCAAAAGAAAAACTGAAATGGATGTGGAACAATTCTACATATTATATACTGGGTATGAGAATTAATAACAGTATAAGAGACTTTGAAAATGAACACTACCTTCTTTTGCAGTTACAGCTCTCTTCATTCCTAAAATGGAAAGCTTGTCAAATAAAGTGCACTGTCTCCCAAAGGTTGCAGACTCAGACTAACTGTATCCACATTAGACATTCCTATTATACTTACAAGTAGTCTTGGTTGCATCCCTGATGAATCTTACTTGGTTATATTTGAATGACAGAAAGACTACTCTGAGAACCTTTGAAAAGTGAGATTTTATTTTATTTTATTTTCCCAGAGGCTCTGGGGTACAGCAGCCTTTCATTATTTGGATGTAAAAAAAGCTGTCTGTTCCCTGGGTGGGAAAGATGACATTTCAGATAGAGACCTCCACCTGCAAAATACGCTGTCCAGCAGCTTCAAGCGCTAAGGCATATTACACGTGGGATAATGTGAAACACTCTTTACGCAGTGGCTTTTAATACATGATAAATCATCACTCAGTGTTTAGTCATTGCTGGTTGTGTTTGTTCATAGGACTAAACCAGGTTTTATAATTTTTTTGTATCTTACTGGCCTGGCTGTTTCATAATGCTAAGCCACTAGGGGTGGATTCACATATCCATATGCTAGATTGGCCTTATGTGTGAACTAAATAACTCAGTAAGATACGCTTGTTCGACCACTGCCATGTAGCTGCAATTGCACACTCTCCTGCTTTAAAGTCCTCTTTAGCAAATATTATGAGACTTTGTTGTTGTTGTTGTTGTTCAGTCGTTAAGTCGTGTCCGACTCTTCGTGACCCCATGAACCATATTGCGCCAGGCCTTCCTGTCCTTCACTGCCTCCCTGAGTTTGCTCAGTTTCATGCTC